GGAAAAAAACGGTTGGAGATGTGGCGAGGAGCGTGAGGGGAGGACAGGTGTCTGATATCGGAATTGGGGGTGAAGAGAGAGAGCCATTGATGTTTGGTGCCGTCTTTGCCGTCTAGTGTTGGTATGGCCGGTGGCTGTTTCGTTTACAGACTTGCGCTCTGTCTGTTTGAACGCAGGTGATCAGGTTGTTGTGGTTGAATGGGCACGAGATTCTTTTGTCTGTCTGTCTATCTGTCTGTCTGTCTGTCCATATTTTGGTGCCTACGACTAAGCTACTATCGATCATAGTCTGTGAAGAGGTAGCTATAGCTGTGATGACCTTTTGCCGTTTACTTCCCATGTGCGAGACTTTCATCGAAAAATCTCACTCAATGTGTTTGTAATGATACTCGACTTATATACTGCAATGGCGATGCCTCCAAACCGTAATGAAGTGAAGCCACTGCACTTGTCAACAGAGAGGCGTTATATTCTGGATCGTGGATAAAAAGAAAGCAATGTGGAATTTAGACCCGAAGAAAAAAACAGATGAGATACTCATGCCATATTATGGACACGGCATCCTGTATATATCTAGGATAATAAGCCACCTGGTATTTGGCGGGATGCCTTTGGATCGTCCTGTAAATACAAAGTATATCGATAGTCAATTCAAGCTCATCCTGACATGTCCATGATATCGGGATATTCCTTTTAGTTGAAAAGTCAACATCGCATTTCTACTTTGGTTATACGGTAATCTACGTTTCGTTGACTCGACTTATGGAACTGGCAGCCCTAAACTCATATTGTAGAGCGGCAGACCAATTGAAAAGCTGAATTGATGGATTCTAATTGAGTATTGTCGGTCTCACATCGCTGGATTATGTAAGAGGAGGAAGGGGTAACGTTTATTGACCTTGCGGTGCGGCATCGACTCCCAAAACGGAGCTTCTTTTGATGTCTCGTCGTCTATTGAGGTATTTTCTGGTTACCCACATATTCTATCCTCATTATCTGGATACAAGTACTCATGATCAAGTCAATGGAGGAAGGGACGTGTTATATATTCCATCTGATGGCTAGTAAGGCCTTTCTCATTGAGACTCTGTAAAGCAACACATGTATAACATCGTAACTCCCTCGCAGCTCATCCTAGGGGTGCACAATCGTAAATACATTGCACATAAGAAATCAAGACGCTTATTAAACAGCAACATATGGATCTTCAAAGACTCTATCACGTTGAAGAAAGCCGCCTGATGAGCCTTGAAGATTCCGGCAAATTGCTCTTCTCACCTACCTCCAAACTCCGGTACTCCACTACTCAGATCCCGCCACACGCATTAAACGCGTTGATTTAAATAATGTCCATCCTCTGAAGTGATGGTATGATATAGTCTCCAGTACATGTATCTAGATCTAAAAGCCTTGTCAAATCGCTAGAAAACCCGCGTTGTCTCCTCACTCGCTAATACCATCGGTCAAAGTTCAAAGACGATTTCTCTCCTTTCGCTTTCCCTTTTCTTCTTTATTAAGAGGCTGAAACTTTAGAATATTAGCTACATAATATCAAGAATCTTGTGACTATCTAATTCTCCATGTACCATTTCTAAAGAGTAGATATTCTAGTAGATTGTCACCCAAACTCTACAGGCCTCTCCTGGATCTGTAACAAGATAAGTGTTGATAATGTGAAGATGGAACTGTGGACGTGGGAATCTACGACAATTCAATGTCTCGCAGGTACTGCTATAGAACTAGTAGGCCGTTCCGCAGGTATAATCTCGCCCAGACGGAAATTGTTCGTAGGCACAGAAAGGAGCCATGTCTGAGGCGTCATCCTTGTTTAATCATAACTCTCCTGTTCCCCCGCCCCAAAGATGATACAGGATGTCGATTATTATTCTCTGCCGTGGGTCAAGAGGTCGAATCTTTGGAAAGCATTGAGAATAGCTGCAAAAAGTATTCCGAGTTATCTTACCGAGACGACAGAGTCTGGGGCCTCAGGACTACTAAGATCCTCGATTATACTGGCTAATCTGGATACCACCACTGAGGTTTGATCAAATGAATCACAGTATTCTTCAAGAGGTGTCTCTGACATTTTCTAGATACTTTTACTGTGTTCTTATTGGGGATTGGTGGTGGGCTCTGATTGACTCCTCTTTGCTGTATGATCCTGCGTTTCTCCCCTCCTATATTCACTTGAGGCTTACTTCAATCTTCTGACAATGAACCTCTTATATTGATCCACGGTACCATGCTTCATGCTCGTATCAACATGCTGCCGTCGTATGTGCCATGGATACATGTCAAGAAAAGCTAGGCAATATGTGACCAAGGAACCTCCTGTGAATCAAATGATGTTTAGGCTTGTCACCCGGATATTTGGAAGTCATATAAATAATCTTCCGTTTCCAATACGGCCTCCATTCCATTGGCCATTGATCTATATCTCAGTTTTAGATCTGTATTCTAGATACAGCATCAACCCCTATTTAGGTATTTCGGAATGAACAAAGGCTGCATGATAGGGGATTTACGGTGTCACAATAACAACAAAAGGAACATAATGGATCGAAGCGATCCGTTCTATTTAGTACATTGTGTCCATGTTTGCGTTCACTCGCTGCTTAATGTACGTGTGACTATCGATGCCTTCGTAATATCTGCGACTATGTACCTGTATGTCCTCTCTGTGAGAAGGAGTGCCTCTACTATCGGCATGGAATACGGTCTCTCGAAAGCCGTCTCTTTGGCATATAGCAGACTACACGCATCTATTGAAGACACGATACATAGGAGACGGTCGTCTCTTCACGTAGTAACACTTGAAATCAAATTGACTAATTTGTCGGCATATCAGATGGGTTATACACTACAGCATTTGGAAATTGATCTTTCTCGAAACATTGTACGAAGCCGTCCGTTTTGGATCGCGATAATACTCTGACCAAGAATATGGAAATCGCAATTGACGCGACGCGTAATTACCTGAGTGTTTTTTACAAGCGCACACATCGACCGGCCAACACTCGATACCTAAGCTTAATAAAGACTCCAAGTGATCTCTAGTGTAGAGTTGGACAATTCCTTTTGGGGCAGTCATATGCTTCCGGTGGTCAACTTTCGTCATGGCAGAGCGTCGTTGGATCAAATAAAACGAAAGTGCTTCGCCGCTTGTCAGCCAGCTGTGCTTGAAACTTGTGGCAATTCTCAGACAGGAACTTTGAAGCACATCGCCCTCATCTCTGACATGCACACCGATTTCTGCAAAGGTTCCTAAGGGAGAATATTTCGGCATCGAGGCATCCCGGCACAATGGCAGAGTGGTCTAATGCGCATGACTCGAAATCATGTTCCTTCGGGAGCGCCTGTTCGAATCAGGCTTGTGTCGTCTCGTTTCTTTTTTGTTCCTTTTTTTCTCTTGCTCTCTTTGATGGTTGACTCATATGGCAGTTGGTAATGAGATTGGCTATGCTTGAAATGGATATTGCTCTAATGGTGTTGAGCCTGGAATTGGAAGCTTTCATTTTGGGCCCAAGGTGGCGAAAGTTTGTCGATTAGACCAGGTACCGCCTGTTCAATGCTCAATTCAGGTACATGTAGGTACCTATACTCGTAGATGGCCAAGATGGATGAAGGTCATTTTCGTCGGATTTGCACTTTTGATTCCAATAACCCCGAATTCTATTCGAAAGCTGAGCCGTCACAGCATGAGGTTTGGGAGCAACGCATCAAGTTCTACATGTATATACTCAGGTAGGGTATTGCGAGGAGCAATCTTCGGGCTTGGTGTAGTAATCCGCACTTACAGTAATCCCGCTTGTTCGGGCGACAGCCGGGCGAAAGCTGTGGTGGGGTTGCTCTTCAGGTTGCCGCACGAGAGCGGCCAAGGCGGCCTTTTCGTCGAGAAGCGGGAGCGAGAATGTGAGAGTCCCATCGCTTAGGAAAAGAAAAGAGGAGCTGAGGCTACAGTATCGCCCAGAAGGATCGATTTGCACGGCTGGTTGGGTTACTAAGAGCTGTTCCGAGAGTGGTATTGGCTGTTCCGAACTCGTCCGGCTGGTGATGACAAATGGATTAAGATGTGGAATTTTGGTTTCAAGCCGAGCTGCTGTTTCTGTTCGCAATAAGTATCTGCATGTGGTCAAGGATCCTGTTTCTACTCTGCTGGTTCATTGGCATTGCACACTGGTCAGGAGGATTTTATTTCACAGTTGGATATGCGCTTATATTAGGTATTATAAGGTTGCATGCAGCACATGGCAACATGAATGACGTAACTCGCAGCATGTATGTCGACAGCGCTGTTGAGGGATATGAGATACCTACCTATAGTAGGTTAGTATGTAGTCCGTACACACGACGCTGCGGTTGCAGCCAAAATTCAATTCCAAATCTATTAATGTACATTAATCACATCACTGTATGGCCAAGAGGGGCGGCAATGATTCAGCGCCTCGCAGCAGCTTTTGTGGCTCCAAGGCACAAAACAACTGGGAGAACAGGACCCCTAGTGGCAGGGCGATTCCTCATCAACAAATCAGGGTCGGCTCGGTGGCCCCCGGCAAGCCATGGCGGTGGTGGCAGCTCGACAATCTCGTGTAATCACGGCTTCGGCTTGGAACTAAAGAGGCAGTTTTGAAGCCGAAGTCAGCAGTATTTGCACCTAGTGGTTGCAAGCACCGGAACTAACACCATCTCCAGCCGCGGACTAAGCACCGTAGCAATTCTAGCAATCTAGTAATCTATCTGATAGCTGCTAGGAAACGTCATTTGGCTCCCCCCCCTCCCCCCGCTTTGGGAGCAACACTTTGGCTTGCAAAATAAAATCTGCCCCTCCTTCACAACTGCTCGAGTATATATAGACGCGCGGGTGTGGAAGCTGTAAATCACGCCAATTGTCCATGCAACCCTTCGCCTTACTCTCCCGAGCTCAGTCACTAGGCTCCAGAGGCATCGCTTCGAACCGACTATCTTCACTCCATCGCCATCTATCCACCACAGCCCGCGCAATGGCTCCCACCACCAAAGAGACCGACTACCTCGTCCTGGGAGGCGGCAGCGGAGGCCTGGGTGCTGCTCGCATGGCCGCCTCCAAGTATGGCGTCAAGGCTCTGATTGTCGAGAACGCACGCCTGGGAGGAACTTGCGTCAATGTTGGGTGAGTTGACACACTTGCGTGTCGTTGTAAACGATGACATGCTGACCAGTTCTCTCGTGTCGTGTAGATGCGTTCCCAAAAAGATCACTTACAACGCCGCCGCCCTCGCCGAGGCCATCCACGACTCAAAATCCTATGGCTTCTCCGTCCAGGAGACCGCGCCCTTTGACTGGGGCATCTTCAAGACCAAGCGTGATGCTCACATCAAGAAGCTCAACGACATCTACGCGCGCAACCTTGGAAACGACAAGGTGGACTACCTGCACGGATGGGGCCGCCTACTGTCCAAGAACCAGGCCGAGGTCACTCTGGACGATGGCTCCAAGGTGCTGGTCAACGCCAAGAAGATTCTCATCGCCGTCGGGGGCAAGCCCACGGACCCTCCCGCAATCCCCGGAGCCGAGCTCGGCATCAACAGCGACGGCTTCTTCGACATCGACAAGAAGCCAGGCAAGGTGGCCATTGTTGGCGCCGGCTACATCGCCGTTGAGTTTGCCGGCATGTTCAATGCTCTTGGCACCGAGACCCATCTCTTCATCCGATACAACACCTTCCTGCGCAACTTCGACCCCATGATCCAGGAGACTGTCACCAAGGAGTACGAGCGCCTGGGAGTCAACGTTCACAAGCAGTCTCAGGCCACAAAGGTCGAAAAGGCCGCCAACGGGAAGCTCTCCGTCACGTATCGCGACGGAGAGGGCAACGAGACCACCCTCCACGACGTCGATCACCTCATCTGGGCCGTTGGCCGAACCCCCTTGACGAGCGGCATCGGTCTGGAGGAGGCGGGTGTTAAGCTTAACGAGAAGGGATACGTCGTTGTGGACGACTACCAGAACACCAACGTTGACAACATCTACGCCCTCGGCGATGTTACCGGCCAAGTCGAGTTGACACCCGTCGCCATCGCCGCCGGGCGTCGTCTCTCACACAGACTCTTTGGACCCGCTGAATTCTCAAATTTGAGTCTTAGCTATGAAAACATCCCCTCGGTCGTGTTTTCGCACCCCGAAGTTGGCGCCATTGGTCTCACGGAGCCGCAGGCCATCGAGAAGTACGGCAAGGAGAACCTCAAAATCTACAAGGCTTCCTTCACTGCCACCTACTACGCCATCATGGACCCCGAGCAGAAGGGCCCTACCAGCTACAAGCTCATCACAGCAGGCCCCGAAGAGAAGGTCGTTGGCCTGCACATCCTGGGCCAGGGAAGCGGCGAGGTCCTGCAGGGCTTTGGCGTTGCCGTCAAGATGGGCGCGACCAAGGCCGACTTTGACAACTGCGTTGCCATCCATCCCACAAGCGCCGAGGAGCTGGTGACAATGAGGTAAAAGGAGGGGACGATTGATGGAGCAGAATAAAGATAAACATGATGTACATTGTAGATAGCTTTGTATTGGCAAGATAGTAAAATTGCACATTATTTGATACGCTTTCCGAGTGTCCACACATTGGATGCATAAAAGCGGTACATGATGACGAGCTGCCTGCATACACTGAACTGCACTGCTGGGGCAAGCTGGATGGGTACGAGTCTGGGGGCGCTGCCTGGACCAAACGCTGCATGTGCCCATTATCTGGCATGGAGCGTATTACGGAGTAGAGTAGAGCAGAGCATCTCAATGGTCAAGTGTGACAACAACACGCAAACAGACAGCGCAGGATGCATGGCTGGGCTGCTGCTGCGAGGCGATTGGCGACGCGCAAGTCACGAGAGACGAGTGGGAAAGCGTTCGGGACTCGCGGCTACTGCAAGACGCTGCCTTTGGATGCTTGGACGAGAGAAATGATTGCTTGCCCGTGGGCATAGATTCCGGGCCTCCCTGCTGCCCCCCTCATCTAACGTCTAATAGGCCGCAGTTGGTGACAGCGGCGTGCGTCTGGTCTTGCGGGGAAAGCAGAAGCGTTGAGCTTTTTGGGTGTGTTGCGCTGGGCTGCCATTTGCTTGTTGCTGCGTTGCTCGACTTGTCTGGATGCATTTACGGAGTATGTCTGTCTGTCTGTATGCAAACAGGCAACGCAAATGCAAAAACGAGACAGAAGTCGACAGACATGGGGTTGAGTGCAAAAGACGGGATGAAACAGAACCCGGCAGCGCAGCTCATTTTGCGTTTGATTGATGCTGGAGATGGGCAGCACCCCCGACGATGCCTAAATTGCCTACTAACTTCAATGTGCTGTACATACCTGGACCCCAGGGAACTCCATGCTTGATTGACTGAGGTGCCCATTAATTGACATCAATTTGATGCCATGCATGTACCCCCTCGTATCTACTAGCGCTCGACCCCTCGCCGTGGTACCCAAAGGTACTCCGCAGCCGCCGGTAAATTGTGGCAGCGCCGTGACGCTAAACCCGCCGCCTAATTTGGTCGAATCAGAGCTCCGGGCAGCTTCACTGCTAAGGCCAACCTGCTGTAGCTCGCCAGCCACCTCTCAAGTCTCAGGCTGACGACCCAAAACAACCCCGACTTCAACCCAATATACCCAAGTTCCGAAAAATCTCCCCATCGCTGGCTGTGTCGACTTCTTGGGCCGCAAAGGTGCTGCTGCATTTTGTTTTATTTTTTTTTTCTTTCCTAGTCTCTGTTGCTGCTGCTGCTCATCTCCTTTGATTTTTGGCCTTGACGCCATTGCAGCCTCGCATCCTCTTGGAAGCTTTCCCCGTCCTTTTGTTTTGCGCCTTTGAAAAGGGACTCGACACTCTCCACCCAGCGAAAGACGCCAACTGTTCGACACACTTCTTCCTAGTGCCTGCGTGCGACAATGTCGGCGGCCGCTGATCCGAGTATGGCTTCCATATTTCTCAGAGCTTGTTATCCGTGTATTGCTTCTTGGCTGACTGGTTGTCCTTCTCTTCTCTAGGCGCGCCGAACCTCAATCTCTCGCCCGAAGAGAAGCGCATCTACGGCCAGCTCTTCCGCCAAGCCGATACCGATGGCGTGGGCGTCGTCACCGGCGAGATAGCCGTCAAGTTCTTCGAGAAGACGCGGCTGGATTCACGCATACTGGGAGAGGTTTGTTGCTCCTTTATAACCTCCATCTGCCGTCTCTCGCACGCTCTCTCTCGCTCGCTGCCTTGTCGAGAGGGGGGTTGATTCGTCACCCCCACGCCCCCCCCCCCCCATTTTGCCTGCCCGAGCTAACCGCTGTGCTTTTATCACGACTGCAGATATGGCAGATTGCCGACAAGGAGAACCGCGGCTTCCTCACTCCCGCTGGCTTCGGCATCGTCCTTCGCCTCATCGGCCATGCTCAGGCCGGACGAGAGCCAACCCCCGAGATGGCCCTCCAGCAAGGGCCCATCCCCCGCTTCGAAGGCATCTGGCCGGCTGCTGCCACCTCTCCGTCGCAGGCGCAGACGCCCATCCAGCCCCAAGTCTCTGGCGGCCTTCGTGTTCCTCCCCTGACGCCCGACAAGGTTGCACAGTATGCTGCCTTGTTTGAGCGCCAGAACCTGCAAGCGAGCATGCTGCCGGGCGACCAGGCCAGGTCCATCTTCGACAAGTCCGGCTTGCCTAACGAGACTCTTGGCAGGATATGGGGATTGGCTGACACCGAACAACGGGGCGCTCTCGCCCTGCCCGAATTCATCATCGCCATGCACCTGCTTACGTCCATGAAGACTGGTGCTCTCCGCGCACTGCCCAACGTTCTACCTGCTGGATTGTATGAGGCGGCGACGCGCAGCTCCGCGGCCGCTCCTAGACAGTCGCCAAGCAACACTGGTGGCATTACTGCTATCCCCCGGCAGCTGAGTGGCTCGACCCAGCAGCAGAGGACAGGAAGCCCGCTCAATCGCCCGCCGATCGTCGCTGCTCAGGTCACTGGACCCCCTGCGCCGACTGGTGGTGAATGGGCCATTACTCCGGCCGACAAGGCGAGATTTGACCAGATCTATCTCGATTTCGACAAGACAAACAAGGGCTTCATAACCGGCGAGGAAGCCGTGCCCTTCCTCAGCCAGTCAAACCTCCCCGAAGACACGCTCGCCCAGATTTGGGACCTAGCGGACTTTGGTTCTCAGGGACGATTGACTCGCGATGGCTTTGCCGTTGCCATGTACTTGATCCGCCAGCAGCGCAGCAATCGGGGCACTCCCTTGCCCAGCACTCTGCCCACAGCCCTGGTGCCGCCGCACCTGCGAACTCAGAGCCGCCCTGCTACTGCAGTTTCATCGGCCTTTGATCCCGCACCGGCTCTCACACAAACCGCTCCACTCCCCCCGGTAGCTGCCCCTGCCCCTCCGGCGCCCAAGTCTGCTCTCGAGGACTTGTTCGGCCTCGATTCTTCCACTCCTAGTCCGGCTCCCCCGGCCCCGGCGCAGACCACAATGTCCACGGGAGGCTCAAATGCCGATCCGTTTGCCGGTGGCATCAGCGTGCTCCACACAGCATCTTCTCCTGGCAAGCCGTCATCCCCCGTAGGTGTGACGTTTAGGCCATTCGTGCCATCTTCTTCCTTTGGTCGTGGCTTGGCTGGCCCCCTTGGAGCTGAGGCTGCGCGTCCGCATACCGCTTCAGAGGACCTCCTTGGTGATACTGATCCTGAAGCAAACAAGAACATCTCTGATGAGACTACTGAGCTGGCCAATCTGTCGAATCAGATCGGCTCTCTGACCAAGCAGACGCAAGAGGTTCAGACCAAGAGGGCCACGACTCAGCACGAACTGAGCCAGACTAACTCCCAGAAGCAAAACTTTGAACAACGACTGGCACAGCTGCGACAACAGTATGAAAAAGAGGCTCAAGATACACATGCTCTCGAAGAGAAGCTAAGAAACTCGCGGGCCGATACTAAGAAGTTGCAGGGAGAATGCATGACTCTGGAAGGACAGCTGCGAGACATTCAGGGCCAGCACCAGCAGGTCCTGGCTGCCCTCCAGGCTGACCAGCAGGAGAACGCCAACCTGAGAGAGCGCATTCGTCAGGCCAACGCGGAGATCGCCGAGCTCAAGCCTCAGGTTGAAAAGCTCAAGCTGGACGCCAGGCAGCAAAAGGGTCTCGTTGCAATTAACAAGAAGCAGTTATCCACCACTGAGGGAGAGCGCGACAAGCTCAAGGCAGAGGCCGAATCTCTGGCCAAGAGCGCCGAAGACATCTCTCGCCAGATAGAGACGGGCTCGCCCGTGTCTACCTCGGCGCAGATGGCCAGCCCTGCGCTTTCGACCTCTAGCGGTAACAACCCCTTCTTCAAGCGGTCCGCCAGCACAGACATCATGGGCGTCTTTGGACCGCCGCCCCCGAACAGGGCCTTCTCCGACAGGTCCTTCGACGATTTGTTTGGCCCCGGCCCCATCAGCTCCAGCGGCACTCCCCCGCCAGTTGCAGCATTCAAACAGCAGAACACGGGGCAGTCATCAGTTAGTGTTGGATCCTTTTCTAACAACTCAGGGCCGACTCCCAATGTCAGCCGCGTCCCAACGCTGAGTGCTGAACCTCCTGCGCCGCCAGAGTCCAGACAATTAAGCTCGAGCTTCTTGCCGTTCCCCGAGCCTAACGAGTCGCTGTCTTCGTCGCGACAAGTGTCTCCCCCTACCTCCTCACGTGCCGAAGGCTCGGCGTCCGGCTCATCATTCCCCTTCCCCGGCGGTGTGGCATCGGGCGCCGCAGAGGCCAAGGCTCCTGCGGCTGCCGCTTCCAGCGAAGAAGAGGAGAAACATGATAGCGCCAGCGCGACCCCCGTCCCGGCCGCTCAAGGCGATAGCTCGCAGAAGCCCGCGGAGGGAGAAGCCCAAGATCGATCCGGCTCTTTTGACAATACTGACCATGCTAAGGCCAAGGCAGACTTTGACAATGCATTTGCCGCCTTCACCTCAGCCAAACCCCCCGGCAGCAGCGGCGCAGACAACGGAGCTGCTGCTGTAAAACCCCATAGCGCCTTCGACAACGCCTTTGACACAGAGTTCCCGCCCATTTCGGAGCTTGAGCGGGACGTGTCTGAGTCTGACAGTGAGAGGGGAGGCTTTGACGACGATTTCGCACCCGCGTCGCCAGAGAACAAGGCCAAGGAGAAGCAGGTCGCCCTGGAGCCAACTCCGGAGTCCCACAGACCTGCTGCTGAAGCCGCCGACCCAAACGCCCCTTTGTCACCATCTCAGGATATTACAGCTACCCACGAACCCGAAGCTAAAAGGTAAATGCGCAGAAGTGGTTAATTTGCCCTTGCCCTTGAACTTTGATGATGAATTGATCGTTCCGCTTCCTTGCCATCATTCACTAACGCAAATCCCGCAGTACGGAATTGCCTTCTTCTCCCGCCACGATCACCAACAACCATGCGGCCACCTCTCCGACATCCAACGCTGATGACATTTTTGGTTCCAGCACAA